ATATCAAATGATGCAAGTGCAAACCTCTTTTAATAGGGATGGTTGTGTGGAAGATCTGTGGGGAATTTTAAGTAAAGTTAGGAAAACAGATGAAGAGCTCCTGTAAAATAAGTCAGCATTCAGGCTTTAAGTGCTTTATCTGAACTTCTGAAGGAAAGGACAAAATACAAAAACACCTGCAGTATATGTTAAAATTGAAAATTATCCTACAATAATAGACTCATATGCAAACACCCTCCTTTTGCTTGGATTTTACATTTCATTATTGGCAGCACTCGTTCATTATCCATCCTAATACTGGTTTTATGTATCTGGAATGATTCTTTTAGTGGACTATTCAACTGTATCCTACTTTTGTCACAGTATGGTGCTATCATGCTTGATATTTGCAAAAAGGTTCTCCTATTGTGGTCAAAGGGCTCAATCAATGCCTTGTCGAATCTGGTTTGTCCATGTGGTGCTACTACACATTTCAGTCAAACTTAAACATTTTTATGTTAAAGCAGGAACTTAGCACTTCCTCTCTCAATGTTTTCAAACTAGCTAATTGGAAAATTATGCTGGATTTTCCAACAATTTATTAACAGGCCCTTTTGATTAGCAGGGTCTTTTCTCATATGTGATGCTAGTCAAACCCAAGCTCCTACTTTCCCTGTCGTTGTGTCCTTGTGCAAGAAAGCACCCCCCCACACACACATTGCCCACTGATGGTGGTCAGAGGGGCCGGTGGTACCTGTGTGCACAGCCTCGCTTCTGTCAGTGAGCCCCAGGGGGGCTGTGGCTACAATATAGCTTGCCACTATCAATCACACTGCAAAAAATGTAAAGCTAAGGAAGTCCTTTTTTTCTTAAAATAAGTGCATTTTTCTTGAATTGAGTAGGTGAGACCGTTTGCTAATGTAACAAGACAGTTTACAATTAAAATAAGAAAAAAAAAAACAACCGCAGTCTGTTACTTTAAGTGGATAATATCTAATTATCTTATTTTAAGGTTTAAAATGCTCATTCCATTGGCAGGTCATGTTATTTTCCTACTCATATTAAGGATAAATACAGTTAGTTTAAGACAGTTTTACTCATTTTCTGAACATTTTGCAATGCAGTGTGAGAGTGTGTTGGTGAATGACTGAATGTAGTGTAACTGACTTGTAAAGGAATAAATACAAGCCATTTAAAATATATTGGATGACAATCATGACCGTGATTAGTTTAAACTGCTGCCTAGTACTATATGTCTACAATGATTCGCTAATCCTGTTCCTTGCAACAACAACAACAAAAAAAATCCTGCACCAGTGCCATCTATTTTCAAAAATGTGGTTAAAAAGAGCTTTTCTATCATAAGAAACTAACCATGACCGCTCTGAAAAAAAGAATGAAAACAACAAGGGAACAAGACACACTGCCTTTTTATTACAATATATTCATATCAGGGAGTCACCAGAGGAGGCGTGTGGAGATTTATCTATCTGCTGGGGGTGAGCGCTGATTAAAAAATGAACAAAATGTTTCTGTGTTACAAAGTGAATTCCAGAAAGCTGCCAGGCTCCCAAAAAGGAAATGAGCCAAGTGTCATGAGAGTGGTAATAATATTTGGTAACATGATGTTTCTTATAAGCGGTTAAATGGTTGTTTTTGTGGCCCAACTGCAGAAAACATTGTAACCTCCCTATTTGTCACCTATCAGCAGCAGAGTTCTTATCAGGCTCTTATGCAGAATATTTTCTGGTGCTTTTCTCATGGCCAGTTCTCTTAGATACTAAGTCTCTTCCCAATGTTACCAGTGGGTGACAGGCTCTGTCTTGCAGATGGAGCCCAGTTTTATGTAAAGCTTGATTGTGTTTTTACATCTTTGGCACCAAAGATTATGAACTAAACTAAGCCTAAAAACGCTAAAACAGCTTTCACCTTTCTAAAAGTTCAAATGCTGACTCCATACTTGCCTTAAAGACATACAGTATAACAGAAGTTTCACCAAACTAGAACAACTCAAGCTTCAGGCTGGGAAGCCTGTGAAACAGGAGCACCCATTTCCTAAAGGGTTGAGTTTATTGGACCGGAAGAGCCTCTAAGAATCCTGCTGAATCTTTTGAAATAGAAGGAAAAAATAAAATTAAAGCTGCTGCAGCAGCAAAGAGAGCAATATTTCACCATGGCAGCTGGAAGAAAGTCATTAGCAGGCACACCACATAGTTAAAGCTGCAACGTCATCATTTTTTTATGTTTTCCCATGGATTTATGATGTTTGTTAAAGTTGAGATAAAAATGAACAGCAGCATTTTAAGAAACCAGTTGTTAACATTTTATTCTTTTTTTTTTTTTTTTGCAGTCATGAATAAGTATTTTATTACTGCCACAGGATTTTGAGGCAAAAAATAGCTGCCATGTGCCGCTAATGTGAAGCTATTGATAAACAAAGTTTAAATTTTTATCTATTTAACACCTATTTTATAGAGAAATCTTTCAAAATGATTCACAAAACAGGAAACAGAATGCAACAAACACCTGGTTAAATAAATAGTTTTTTTTTTTTTTTTTGCTGCTGTGTAGCAAATAGCCATTTTTTATTGTTTGTATATGAAATAGAAAATGGATCTTTGCATTAGGGACGGGTAGCCTCAGACAGGGGTGGACAAGTTTGGTCCTTGAGAGCTACCATCCTGCAGCTACCTCCTTTAACACACCTGGATCTAGTTATTCAGCTAAGCAGAGGCCTGAAATCAAGCCACTAATTAGATTTAGATGTTGGAGAAGGACAGTCGTTCTTAAGTACTGGACATCTGCTCCACAGGTCTTGGGGATGCCAGAAAAATTAAGTTATATGTCAGTTAGATCCAGTTTTCTACTGCTTTCTTGTAATTATCGCCAATAGAGAAAAAAGAAGCTTAATGAAAACAAAAAGTACAAGTTTTCAATGTTAGTTTTTGCTTTTTGTTCTTTTAGTCGAGCATAAATGACTTTCTGTCTATGTTATCGCGTGATCTCTATCAAGGTTTTTTGTTTTATATGTATTGTTTTGTGTTGGGAGGCACAAAGCAGCAGCAATGGTCTTTAGGGAGCAGTTATCACTTACCCTTCATCTAGGAATAGTGTTATTCCTATTTTTAAAAACATTAGAGGAAAAAAGATAAACACCCGAGGGTTTTTATTTTGTTTCCTGTTTTAATCTAATGCTCAGTATCACATCTATGAAACTGCAAACATGACTCCCCAGCTTATCATATGATGGCATCAAGATAAATAAGCCAAGGTCTGCATGAAGAGCAAATCTTCCTCTGTTATTCTGTCACTTTCCACAAGCAGAAAATATGACATCCAGATAATGTCTTACGTTTAGGCGATAGTAATGGGAGCTAATGAAAACCTGTCATCGTGACCTTTACCTGTTCTTGGTGTTTTTATTCTCTCTGACATTTGTAACAGGTATCAGCTGTTCCACTCGGCTGTCTGACCTCTGTACTGTCAGCAGCTCTGTGAGTGGAGCATGAAACACAGACGGCTCAGCCGTCCTCCAGGGATGAGGCCTGGAAAAACCTGCTCAGCAGTCGGCTGCCTTTTCTTTTTTAGCATCATAAAGCTCTGCTGTTAAACACGTTACAGGGGCTATAGTTCAACTTTACACATTTTACTCTGCTTTCATGTCACCATTTTGTTACTAAATAGAATCATATCATACACCCTAAATTACATTTTTAATTCAAAATAGCTGTGCACAAACGTTAAAAACGACTTCTCTGTTTTTCCCTTTTCCTAATCACATTACATCTTTGCAGGACTTCTTCTCCCAATGAGGTTTAAACAACACTGATCACAGGAACTTTGTCATTCATTCACCTGATTTCAGATCTTACTTGGTTTGTTTCAGATTATCTTTACCTGCAACATTTTTTTGTCGCTTGCCATTTCTTACTTTTCACTTCTTGTCAGTCTTCTCTGTTTTAAGTTTCTTCGTGGCTCCAGCTGATCTTCCATTAGCAGCCCACAGAGTCTTGCTCCTGAAAGCTGTTGTCTGTCCTTTAGTTAGGCTCACTTGTGTCACAATCCAGTATTAATATCAGCATGGTAGCCACTTGGCTCATTCACCGGTTTTTCACATCCTCCTGGCTTTGGCATTTTTCTTTCAAGCTTTGGAGTCTTCCTTCCTTTGGGTCCATAATCTATCAAAAATGGTATTTTAGTGGAGTTCTTTTATATTGCATTTCAAAAACTGGTCATTTACTATAAATATGAAGCACTTTACCTCATTAACTGCCCCACTCCTCTACCAATGGTACCAAAGGGCTACCTTTTAGAGCCTTTTCTTTTGCTGTTTTTTTTAGTCTGTATATATATCAGGGACTCCTCACACCCCGGTCATCATCTTTTTGAACTGCTCCCATCTGGGAGACGTTTTAGGCCAATAAGGACAAAAACAACCAGACTGAAAAACAGCTTCTTTCCTAGAGCTGTTGTTGCCCTGAACGCCTCACGTAAACTGTAACAACTGTAACTATCAATAATGACAGTAACACTAAATGCAATATGCTACCTCACGTGCAATAACCTGTACCCGCTGCCTCAGGAGAGCCCGCAGTATCCCCTTTTTTAAAAACTTTTTCGTATTTATTTTCTTTAAAATTTGCACTAATTGCTTGTACTGTTTTTTCTTTTTTGAGAAATTTCGTTGCACCCCTGTGGAGCAATGACAAATGGAGAATTCTGATTCTGATACAGAAATCAACTTATATAAAAAGCATCATCCTTATAGCTGCATCAAGCTCAAAACCTAAACTCTTTCTGATGTGCAAAGCTTTTTTTCATGGCCTTACAACATTACTGGATTGTTAGAATATGTTAAAAGAAAAGTTGAATCTTATCTTTTTTTTTAAGGCCCATGATTTAGCTGTTGTAATAAAGCATTTATTAAGTTTAGGACATTTTCCTCACCTGTAGCCAATAAGTGTGCATTGGACTGAACTTAATGGAAAACAACAGATTCATCCCATTTGTATCTTGTCTTTAATATTCAACAAAACACAAGACAAGCTGCCATATATTTTAGTGATAGGATAAATTTAATTGCATCTGTTCTACAATCATTGCCTTTTGATGCGACCAAATTACATCACGAAGTTTAAAAGCATCAGTGATGCGGCTGTAAAAAGGTTTGCATTATAAAAAAACATGGTTAGAAACACTCCTATTAACTCGCTTCTGTTAACCCAAACAGACATTCTGCTGACATAGATACACACATAAAGTGTAAAAAAAAAAAAAAAAGTGTTTTTGTTGTTCTCTAAATTGTGCATGCAGAAATAGGAGCATTAGTGCTTGCTGTGAGCAGGGTGTTCCAGTTTTATCAATGTAATCCTGGAAAGTACTTTAAAAAAAAAAGAACAATTTATAAAATACATTCCAATCTATAGGTTGCAGGCTTGTAAAAACAAATGGGATTATATTTCTGTTTTATATCTGTACATAAAGTTTATTAGGAATAAGTAACAAAAAATGACCAGAGAGACGTTTTTAAAAGGCACAGCGAAGTAACTGACAGTGGCTGCTCCATGAAGAGGCTGTAAACATTCTGTCCTGTTTGTCTGAGAATAAATATTGAAGGAGCGTTTCCTGGCGTTTCACTGCCAGTCAACATTTGTTTAAAAACTGCACTGTAAGGCCAAAAAACTCCTGATGTACGAACGTTTGCACCAGATTGTAGGCAACGGTGAAAATAGGCGTCTCTCCTGCTCGTCATCATAATGCCTTCATGTATTTCCACCATGAATCCGATCAGTTGGAGGGCTTTTTTCATTATTATTATTATTATTGATTCCTAAAGAGAAAAAAAGTCCACCCAACTGGTTTGCATTTAAAACTGACCTAATTTCCCAAAAAATAAATGTCTAAGTTTCAGACAAAAATGCAAAGCAGGATTCTGTTTTGTGTCGTCTTCTTGACGCCCCGTCTCGCCATAAAAAGAGCTCCTAGCAGCCTCTGTGTGGAACTCCCCATCTCTTGCCAAAATCCCATGGTCCATCAAGTGAGAGGCGCGGCCGTTCGTAGGTGATTCAAGACGACAGATCAATCCGTTACAGGTTGTCGTACTTCTGCAGAGCCTCCTCTAGTTTGCCCGTTATCTTCTGGAAAAAAGCGATCTGCTGCTGGAGATAGTGCTGCATCTGGGCCTTGAAGTCTCTCACTCGGATTTGGTGGAAGTGCTGGATCTCAGCCAACGTGGCGCAGGAAATGATGTTGCAGCGGTCGTTGATGCCATCCGCCTGCGACCTGTCCATCTTGCCCTCCTCCACGTGCTTCTGGCTCTCCTTCACCTTCGTCAAGGCTCCTGTTTGAAGACATTAAAATACGGAAATCAAGATTTCTATACACATCTATTGTGCTTTTAAAATGAAAACAAATGAGGTCTGAAAAATGAGGCTGAGGGTAACAGATTTAGGGGCCTAAAATATTTGGTTTAAACTCCCTGGGAACCATGCAGAGCCCCATCTCTATCTATAAAGAGATGAGGGCCCCAACTCAAAACCTCAATGACATCATGTCACCATGGAGCCTTCAACCATTTAAGGGAATCTGGTGGCATTCCTGATACCAACCAGGCTTATACTAACACATTTCTGTCCTTATTAGGACGTGGGAACTTCTATTCATGTTTATACTCAAACCCTGAACAAAGTTGTCTTCGCACCTTAGCTATATAACTTTGATTGTCTCTGAATTTCCACACATGCAAAGCAAACTTGTAGGCAAGGAAACAAATGTGTAGAGTTATATCAACATCAAAACATGGTGAGTAAATCTAATCCTGTCTCAGATTTTTAAAGCCATTTGTACAGATTTACTGTTTTCCTGTCACTATGTCCATATTTTACCAAGAATGAGCAGAGATGGGGGGGAAAAAACCTATTTGGACGTTTCATTGGGGGATTAGTATTCCCAGCTGCTTTTGGGGTTAAGGTCTAAGTTATAAAGTGTAGAGCATACTTTTGATGCTTAAGGAAAGGAGTACGAGGTTTCGAATAATTTTACTATTAAAACTCAGTTAAAACAGAAAAGACAGACAAGAAGCAAAAAAATTAGAAACTTTTATTTCAGTCATCTTTACTCTGGTACCCCTAAATAAAATCCACCACTACCAATTTCCTTTTAAAGTCACCTAATTCAGTGCAATTCAAAAATACATAATTAATTCCAAAGAGTAACATGTTCATCAAGACATAGAAGTCCAAGTGTTTGTCATTTATTCTCAGCATAACTGCAGCTGTTCTGGTCTTTAATAGAACTTTCCTGAATGGAGGGATGGATGGATAATTGATGGATCGATGATGTATGGATAAATGGATGATTGATGGATCAAAGATGTATTAAACATGTTGGATAAGGATGTTAAATATTAAGATTGATTGTTTTAAATCCATCCTAACAAACATCAAAGAGCCTTCAAAAACAACTAATCTATGCTGCTCTTAAAATAAAACACCATGATCTCAATTGTGGCCTTGAGTAACATTTTAAAAAGTACTAGCATCTAAGGATTACCTTCCAGCTACATAAAAACCTGAAACACAGCCAGAAATCCAAAAAAACTCACTAAGATAATTTCCTCCATAAAATAGAAGTCAGAATCCAGATCTAAAGTGTCAAGATTTGAACTTGCTGCTTAAGAACTTGCTAATTCTGCAAAAAAGAAAGTTTAAAACATGTCTTTCTCTAGATGTGTTGAGCCATAAGAATGTACCCAAAAAGATCCACAGATGTTATCTCAGCTCCAATTTTACGAAATATATAAAAGAAAAAAAAAGATTTTCTTTCTGCACAATTCTGCTCTACTCGTTTTTTGCTTTCAAACATATCCCTAATAGTATATATATTTATATTTGAGTCAGAAATTGACAAATGTATAAACGTCTACAGACAACCAAACACACAATTGTGACATATGTATAATAAGCAGGTCTACAGTTCCTCTACTTGTACAAATTATATTTGCTATAACCAAACGGATTGTAGAACTAAAGGCAGCTTTCTAAGAAACTAATTCTACTCATTGTTTTTAGGAACACAAGACAATAGAGATGAAATCCAGCTATTGTGATTGACTTTATGAAACAGAGCTTCCCGTTTGGCCTTTGCTTAACAGTGGTTTGTGTTGGCTCATTTTTAAAAGCTGCAACTCAGAAAAATGAAACGCCATTGTCTGACAGAAAGATGCAGTTGTTTTCCTCTTTGCGAGAACGCTGGTTTGAAGTGCAGCGGGGAACAAACACAAACATATTCTTTGAAATCCCATCAAATCAGTACCTTAAACTCCTGAGACCTTATCGTAACAAATGTCCTCATCCACATAGCAAAAAAGGACATTTGGTATGTATGCCTGAGGAAGGAATTAGAAATAGTGGCTTATTTGAATTAAGAAATATCTAGAACAGTAGTTGGGGACCCACTGTTCTTCATTTTTTAAATGCTTCTCTACTCTAACCTGCATCCAGTGACTGCATTACCTTCTCAGCAGCCAGCAAGGGCTGCAGAAGTTATTCAAGTCAGGTGTGGGGATGCAGGGAAATACCTAAACATGCAGGACAATAGGTTCAGAGGACTTCATTTAATGATATGTCACTGATACTGAAAATACCAAAAGTCTGCTTTCCTCAGAAACAACTTTCCCACTGAAGGGTATTGTCAGCATGTTGTGTGCAGTGCTCAGAAAACAACTGGATTTTTTATTTTTTCTTCCAGTCAAACTGATTTATTGGCAGATTCTGCGGCCGAACTGATATTCTAGTTCTTGTAGATGTTTTTCCTACCAAAGCTTAGAAATTCAAAGTCTTTTTCAAGTAAAATTTGTGCTTCGGAAGTTTGTTTTTATACCCAGAACAACTCTAAAGACAGTAAGAAGTGTCACTAAAACATGCCTCAAAGAAACAATATATTTAAAAATAAGGAACTGAAAAATCCTGAGCATAACAGTCATACTAAGAGAGCGATTAACGTCTGCTCTGGGTGCTCACGCATGCTGAAACACTGCTATAGTCACTGTGGTAGGTTCTTGTGGTCTTAGAGAACTGAGAGAACTTTAAAAAAAAGTGCATTTTCACACATACTCCCTGCAGACTTAAAATTAAGATGAGATATGCAGCAACAAACGGGGGTTGCTTTTTTTTTATTTCAACCATTTCCTGCTCAACAAATGCAGTTTAAAGTTCCGGACTTGATGTTTCATGTAAAGTAGGAACATACAGGACATTAAAAGTGAGCATTAATATTCCAGTAGAACTTATCCGACACGCAAAAATATATCCATAACGCACCTGAGGAAGTCTGGTTCATTTTTGGATATAATCCTGCATTTATACATGTAAATCCCTATATGGAGAAATTCAATCTATGCTTTTATCTCATTCCTTTGGGGAGCAGTGGGCTGCCATTGTGTGGCACCCAGGGAGCAGTCTGTGGGAATGAGTGGGACTTGAACTCAGAACCTCTTGGACCAAAGTGCAATGCTCTAACCACTAGACCACTACTCCCCAAATAATGTACCACTGGCTTCAAAGGCCAAGATGTAACTCGATGCTGATACTGATATGAAGTCGCTTTCAAAATTAAAGATATATTGACAAGAATAGCTGAGGGATTCATGTAAGACTCTGGGTGTGACGTGTTAAAGTGAGATGGGAGCCTGTTAGGGATGAAGTGAAACATCCGGCTTTGGTATGTCATGGGATTCTTGTTACATTTTGGTCATTACGTAATGTGAGTCACCAGGCTTTCAGCTGAAACTCGGAAGATTCCTGAAACATCATACTAGAAAAAAACAGAAGTTTTTAGTGATACCCAATTTTCTTTCCCATGCACAAGACGCTTACATTAAACTAGGAAAAAGAAAAATGCACGTGCTAAAATATACAGAAAGGATGCACTTTCGCTGCTCAGAGACTTTGAAGGTTTGGTATGAAACCAAAGCAGAGGGATGCACCAGCAGAACTGATGCAACTCTGCAAAGATAATGAGGAGGAACAAATTGAGAAAACAGAAACTTTCTGGGGAGTTTAGGACTTCAGGAACTGCGTGAGCGATATGTAACATTGAGTCATTTCATGTTGCACACAGCTGCTGCAGATAAACTTTACTGCAAAACAGAAAGAAAACATTTTTAGCTGCAGTTTGATGAACGTAAGCAATTATAGTAAAAAAAAAACAACCTAGATAACTTGAAGGAAAACATTTAAAAGTTTAATATGAATCATTTGGGTTTTAAATGCATTTTAATTCAAACAAGCTGAATTAAACAGATGACAAGTTGTCACCAAGCAATCCAAATTTAGTTAAGCTCAAAGGGGGAAGGTTCTGAGGTCAATAGCACACACACACACACACATATATATATATATATACACATACACACACACACTTGTGTGAAGAGTCTGCGACTTTAAAACTACACAAAAACTAATTTAAAACTACACTGTCTTTATTTCAACTCAGATGTGGGAAGCATGAAATGAAAACCTCCTTTGCGCTGGTTTTGACTTTTGTTTCCAGCCGCAAATTCTCATTAACATTTATACTGTATACATCAACTTCATTAAAGACGGGATGATAAAAACTCCACTTGCAGTCTGCTGGAAACCCTGATGGGACAAGTTGAAATAGAATTTATGTTTGTTCTTGTATACAGTATTAACAGACTGATTCTATTCATCTAACAAGACTGCAGTGTTTTTAATCAGGAAAGTCACAATGTAGGTGGAATTAGATTTTTTATCGTGCAAGTATCGTTAGCGAAACTGAAGTTAAGAAAAATGTAAACTAATATTTTAACGAGGTACCAAAATATTACATTAACAGAAATAAAAAAAAATAATTTTCAGATTTTTTTTTGCTTATTCTGTCAGTTTTATCTTCAGGAAGAGGATTAGGGCCAGTGGAAAAAAAAAAAGTTAACTGATTTTTACATTTTATTTCAGTTTAGTATGGGAAAAAAGTCAGAATTCTGACTTTAATCTCAGAATTCTGACTTTTTTCTCAGAATTCTGACTTTTTTATTTTCAGAATTCACTCAGAATTCTGAGATTAAAGTCAGAATTCTGAGAAAAAAAGTTAGAATTCTGAGATTAAAGTCAGAATTCTGAGAAAAAAGTCAGAATTCTGAGAAAAAAGTCAGAATTCTGATTTTAATCTCAGAATTCTGAGAAAAAAGTCAGAATTCTGAGAAAAAAGTCAGAATTCTGACTTTTTTTCCCCATGTTAAACTGAAATAAAATTTTAAAATCAGTTAACTTTTTTTTTTTTTTCAGTTGCCCTAATCCTCTTCCGTACCTATCTTTTACA